CCCTCCCTCCCTCCATCTCCTCCCTCTCTCTCTCTCTCTCCCCACTACCTGCTCTCTCTCTCTCTCTCTCTCTCTCCTCTCTCTCTCTCTCTCTATCTCTCTCTCTCTCTCTCTCTCTCTCTCTCTCTCTCTCTCTCTCTCTCTCTCTCTCTCTCTCTCTCACTCTCTGTCTCTCTCTCTCGTAAGGAAAACATCGCATGGAGACAAACTCAGGATGACAAACGCAGGAGGACAATCACGGCAGGAACAAGCTCAGAGGAAGGGGAGGGACAGGGAGCTTGGTTTAGGGATACAATCGAACACATGTGGAGTGAATTCAGGGAAGGACTGAGGGTTATGAAGGAGACAATATCCAATCTGCAGGATGAGTTGAAGGCAGCAAAGGATGAAATAGAAAGCCTGTTAGGAAATCCTACCCAACACCAAATGCAAACCATCCCGCAGGGAGATGGTAATGTTCCTGTTGAGGGGAATCTTACAATACAAACCTTATTTGCAGAATTGTTTAAAAAGAACCTTGAAGCTAGGTTTGCAGTAAGGGAAGCTGCCATGGAAGTGACTTCTTCTCAGGAAGCAGCTAGATGTACTAGCCGGCTGATAGAGAGAAAAAGAGCAGTAGTAGTAGCAGGCATTAAGAAGCAAACAAGAACCAGTGCAATGGAGCGGAGAGACAAGGACAAGAGCATAGTTACCGAGATCCTTAAAGAGGTACAGATGGAGAGGGCTGACCTAAATTTTGAAAATGTTTTCTGGCTTGGAAAGTACAACAAGGACAGAGAGCAATTCATAAATTGGTGGTATTCATGAGCGAGAACACGAAAGAGTACCTGCTAGCAAGGAAGAGTGGTATAGCAAATGTACAGAAGTTCAAAAAAGTATTCTTGCAGAGGGAAATGACAAGGGACGAGAGAGTGAGGGCAGCAGACGCGAGGAGAGAGCGCAGGAAGAGAGAAAGGAATCAGAGAACCACAACCTTGTACAATCCCATAGGGGAGTGGGGAACCCTCCACAAACAATTCAACAGCCACAGGGATTGGAGCACCACCCACACATTCTACCCAATAGACACCCTACCTGCCCCATCCCCTGAGAGCCCCCCACTAAGTGCCCATCTTTAGCACCCTCCCCCCACTTAACCCTCACCCCAGGACCTCCCTAGAAAATAAAATAAGAAAAGAGAGATAAGAAATTACTAACAGATATAACATGGGAAACAGAGCTCAGGAGTAAGACGGCCCAAGACATGATGGACAACATCACAAAGAAGAGTAAGGAAGCAGCAAACAAATATGTCCCGGTCCAAAAGGAAAACAATGAAATGAAGGCGATGAGTCACAATAACGTGGCTGAAGTATGTTGACCAGACCACACACTAGAAATTGAAGGGACGACGACGTTTCGGTCCGTCCTGGACCATTCTCAAGTCGATTGTGATGAGGACAGGTAGGGACAGGCATTAAATAGGCAAGAGAGAGCTGAGGAGGAACGTCAGGTGTAGGGGATAGTAGTAATAGGATAGTAGGACCGAAACGTCGTCGTCCCTTCAATTTCTAGTGTGTGGTCTGGTCAACAATGAAATGAAGATGAGAAACCCATGGTTTAATCAGAGATGTAGGCTAGCTAAGCAGCAAAGTAAAAGGGCGCAGAGAAACTATAGAAATAACAGGACACTTGAGAATAGAGAAAGATACCAGAGTGCCAGGAATGAATATGTCAGGTTGAGAAGAGAGGCAGTAGGGCTATACGAAAATGACATCGCAAGAAAGGCTAAGACACAACCTAAATTGTTGCACAGCCACATCAGGAGAAAAACAACAGTAAAGGAGCAGGTAATGAAGTTAATGATAGGGGCAGATGGATTCATTACAAACGACAAGGAAGTGTGTGAGGAACTGAATAAGGAATTCCAGGAGGTCTTCCCTTTAGAACAAGGAGAAGGTCCAGAGATCAGAGAGGGGAGTAATTAACCATGATCCACTAGAAGAGTTTGAGATTACCAGTGGAGAAGAAAGGAAGCTTTTACTAGAGTTGGATGTGAAAAAGGCCATAGGCCCTTGGATATATAAAGAAAGAGCAGAAGCACTGTGCCTGCCACTCTCCATAGTGTATAACGAGTCACTGGCAACAGGGGAACTGCCAAGAATTTGGAAAGCGGCTAATGTTGTCCCGATATACATAAAGGGGAATAGACAGAAGGCACTGAACTACAGGCCAGTGTCCCTAACTTGCATACCATTCAAGCTGATGGAGAAGATTGTGCAAAAAAAGCTAGTGGAACATCTGGAGCGAAATAACTTTGTAACACAGAATCAACATGGATTCAGGGATATCAAGGCCTGCCTCACAGGATTAATGGAATTTTA